GTGATGTACTAGACAAAAGTGATGTACTTTTGTACAGAAGCTGTTCCTCAAGGACGTAATGGGCCTCTCTGGTGCAATGAGTCATGATTGTGTTGTGAGTTAGTTGGCGTTACCAGCAGACAGATATAAACCTGTGCACCCTGATCAGATTGGAGCATCGCCAGGTTGTTGAGGAAGGTGCCATTTTTGTGTGAGTATAACCTGAGATGACAAGACAACACCTCGAGAACCTTTTCAAGGGTCTTTCACTGCCATTTGGATTCCCTCCAAGCACCATTTACTTATCAGCAGAAACACCAAGCCCCAACGGCTGCTCTCGACAAAACCAATGGATCTCACGCACACCAGGAGACAGTGAATAATCTCAGACCATCTACCAAAATCAAAACTATGCTACATGACCTTGCTGTGACATTATTCAGGAAACAGCAGCAGCAGTTATACCAGCTGGGCTGATAAAATGTTTAAAAATGTCAGTACTTATTTATTATAAATTATTATTTAGGTAATGTTTGAATATTACCTTTAATATAGATTGCATGTATTTTATTTGAGTTGTTTTAGTGATTAGTGGTTGCTTGACCATTGCTTCAACTATAAAGCAGAAGACAGTAGTTTCATTATTCTGCTCAATTCAGCTCAAGATTTGTTCAACAAACAAGGCCTGAAAATAAGGGCAAAATTTTCAGAAACTATATTTTTACAGATATATTAATTAAAATGTATTATTTCATTAGAAATATTTTATATTTTTATTTTAATAAAAATAAATATTAAAAACACTATTATTTATTCATTTTAATTGTTTATCTTTTACATAATGTTTGAATATTACATCTAATAAATCTGTATTTGAATATTATATTTAATAATATTTGTAAGTTTAAACATGGTTGCTAGGGTGTTTTGGTTGGTTATTAGGGTCGTTTGGGTGGTTGTTGCGGTGTCATGTTTGGTTGCAAGGTAGCTGTTAATTAAAAGTGTCTAATTTATTTATTTTTATAATACTATTTACAAATATTAAATATTTAGATTTTATATTTGATTCATGGAGTATGGTTACTTGTTTTGGATTGTTGCGGTCTAGTTATGAGTCATCCCTCCTTTAAGCTCTGCTCTAGGTTTAATATCCATTCACCTATTAGATTTATTATTCCTTCTTGCTTTCATAAATCTTCTTGAATGTGTTGTGGTAGCTGTGGCAGGGCAGAGGGAGTCCAAACTCAGACGTTCAGACTTTAGCGAGCAGCAGCTGTCTCTGAAGGAGAGTGACAGAGATGTGTTTGACGCTGATAGTTGTGTTGTAATGAGCCGGTTTGTCCCTGCCGGCCGCTCGCAGAGGATCAGATGGTGCTCGCTGTGGCTCTAGGGCAGCTCTTTGCTAATGACAGGCACGGGCCGCAGATCCTGCGCTCATGATGATCGTTGGGATGGCAGGCACAGTTTAGTGGATTACAATAATGTCTGTGATGCTTCTCCGGGGATTTAAACTATTTAGAGTGCCAGCATTTAGTGCGATGCTGTCTGTTTGGATGAGCCATAATATACCTGCTAGAACAAATTATTGCATTGTTAATTTATAAGCTGACATGTTTATGGATTCTTCAACTTATTTATATCCTAATATAACATTCTGATAATATATTATAATATAAAAGATGCAGTCATATTATATTAGAATATTTTATATATTATTATTAAATTAATATATACTTTTATTAACATAAATAATATTCTATATAATATTTTAATATATAATGTGTATTGATGTGTTTTCATATATATATATAGATGCAAAAGCCTCTAAATGCCATCTGAAATTTTCGAATTTTCGTGAGCATTTTTATCAGGCTCCTATATTTATGTTCAGTTATTTCACTTTAATTGCATAGAAAAGGACCTGGCTCCTATATTTATGTTCAGTTATTTCACTTTAATGGCATAGAAAAGGACCTATACATTGCCATTAAAGTAAAATTACTGAACCTAAACATAGGAGCCTGATAAAAATGCAAATTTTAGAAGACATTTTCAGATGACACTTAGAGGCTTTTGCATCTGAACTCTTCATTCATATATATATATATATATATATATATATATATATATATATATTATAATGGTAGAACATTACATATAATATCATCTAATATATCTATATTATATGTAATATTTTATATAATAATGCATATATGTATATACATTTATTATTTATATTTTAATTATATTGCATACAGTATCTATGTATTATAATATCTCTATAATAATATTTGATAATGTAAATAAAATATTTTAAATATGGTCAGATATTATATATAACATTTAATGTATTAATATTAAACTTTTTATATGATCTATATTCATCTATTATAGTTATATATGAATAGTTTAACATATATAATAGTAAACATAATATTTTAATATATGATGTATATGTATTATTTTTTAAAGTATAATATAATAACATTTTAATATTTTATTTTTTATGGTAGAACATTACATGTAATTCAAATATAATATATACTAATGCAGACATACACACATTATTTTTATTATATTACACACAGTTTATCTATATTCAAATATGATGTAATATTTTCAATATTATTTTAATGTAAATATAATATTTTAAATATGTTCATATATTATATATAATGATGTTAAATATATTAATAATGAACTTTCTATATGATCTGTATTCATCTAATATATTTGAATATTATATGCAATTGTATGTGAATATTATATGTACATTGTAGTGTTACAGTTTTGTAAGTGTGCAGATAATACATGAATATAGTATATTAAATATGGGTTAAATAAAACAAAAAGCACTAAAATTGGATGTCCCTGTTCTAAGATATTTAATTCTCTTTTCTCAGTAATCTAATTGTGGTCTGTTATTCATAGCTGTTCTCTCGTCCTGAGTTCACATTCTTTCATATAATTATGTGGATGTATTTTCAAGTCATTTATTCTGAGCCTCGTAATTTATGGCAGGAAGGGGTTTATAGGACAGGCGTGAAATTAACACCTGTTATTCTCTCAGGACTCAAATTAATTAACCTACTACCTTAATAGAGAACGGCAGGCACGCGGGAGGTGGCATCTGTGTGTACGTGGCCCACAAAAAACGTGTTGGATTCTCTGACACTGGCACTGAAAGGAGAGGGTTTTCGTGAACTTTGGGTGTGTGTGTGTGTGTGTGTGTACGTGGCCCACAAAACACGTGTCGGATTCTCTGACACCGGTGTGGAATGGAGAGGGTTTTTGTGAACTTTGGTAGCAAAACGTCTCATTAACACTCTTACAGGTAAAAATGAAAAATGAAAAAAAAAACTGCGCCATTTTACTGCCTTCAACCACACATTCTCTCTTCAAAGATATTTCCATGTCAGCAAACCTGATGCATGGCCGCTTAGAACTTCCGTACTTGACAGTTAGCTAGTTGAAATAAAATAATATGTTTATTATTATTATTATTATTGCAAAAAAACAACTAAAGTGTTTAGTAGGACAGTGATTAAAATGAAAAATGTTTTCTTAAAAATGCATATAATTTCAAACGTTCTCAAATGGTCTTAGATATAGTTAATCTTCTTACATTAACAGGGTTATTATAGTAAGCTAAATCTAAGACCATTTGACACCATTTGATTTGAAGTTATATGCATTTCTTTTTTATTATTTGGCCGAATGCACAGCTACTTTTGAATGGTCATCTATGGTGAAGGATCTGCTGAATGTTTAAGAGCAGGACTGGACAGCAGAACTGCTTTCACTGCCTCTCTTTGTTATCTTTCCTGTCCAGTTCATTGGTCAGTGATTCCACATAACATAATAATGAGCAGAACTAATTTCTGCACCATTCAGCACAGATGAGTTACGTGTGCGCTGGGATGTCTCCGTGGTTTGTTGCTATGGAGACGTCTTGAGCAAACTTTGCAAGATGCCATCCTCGCACGCAAAGTTATATCTTTAAGCAAAGCTATATTGCAGTGTTTATGGTCATACCAGACATTATTTGTAGTGTTAAACAGCGATTTTTAACTAGTTTGCATCAAATCAAAAAGGTACACATTTGTACTTATAGAGTCCATTTTGGTACCTTATAGGTACATATTAGTACCTACTTTTGAAAAAGTACTGCCACAGTGACAACTTTTGTACCTTTTTTTTCTGCGAGTGTAGAGGGGAAAAACCCTTACGTTCACCAAGGCTGCATTTATTTAATCAAAATTTTTACAATTCAAAATAACAATTTCCATTTGAATATATGTTCAAATGTAATTTATTTCTGTGATGCAAAGCTGAATTTTTTGCATCATTACTCCAGGCTTCAGTGTCACATGATCCTACAGATTTCATTCTGATATGCTGATTTGCTGCTAATTTTTTATGATTATCAATGTTGAAAACAGTTGTGTTTTGTGGAAACTATTTTATGTTTTCAGGATACTTTTATGAATAGAAAATTCATAAGAAAAGCATTTATTTAAAATGGATATTTTTTTGTAGCATTACTGTATATTTGTCATTATGCATTTACTGACACTTGATCAAATTAATGGGGCCTTGCTGAATAGAATTATTATGAATACAGTAAAACTTTATTTCAAGCCTTTATACATAATGAATTATAAATTTCATATATATATATTTTTTAATGTATTACTTAGGCCCTGTAATGCACCTTACAATGCATAGTATGAGCTCATGAGTTATTGTAAACACAGATACACAGTACATTATAATATGTATCCATTAATTGCTACACCTTTAGAAAGTATAATGCTTTAAAACACAAACAACCAATTTCCGATGTAACAAGGAATCTACAAATATTAAAATGCATTTTAGCTTTAGTTATAATTATACATGAAAATATATAATGCTTTACCATGTACGTTATAAATGAATATGCAATATACATAAAGGCTTCAAGTAAGGTGCTACCAAATGCCTACAGTTATATCATGAATCTGTCTCTGTTTCTGCAGTTTGTGGCTCATCCGAACTGTCAGCAGCAGTTGTTGACGATCTGGTATGAGAATCTGTCTGGTCTTCAGGAGCAAACCATTGCAGTGAAATGTCTGGTGGTTTTGGTGGTGGCACTGGGACTCCCTCTGCTAGCTGTGGGGTATTGGTTTGCCCCATGCAGTAAAGTAAGACACATTAAAAAGCTGTCAAAAACATGCCTGGGTCCTGCAGTACCATTTTAGAAACACTTGTTATTTATTAGTATAGTCTATTTAGTATTTATTTATCTATTTAGTATTAGTATTTTCTCTGCAGATCATGTCAACTTTGTGAAGTCCCTTTTGTTGCTATGATGGTTATTATTGTTAACTAAAACTAAAATTATAAATAAAAACATAAAATATCAAATAAAATGGTAAACATAAAATGCTACTTGAAATAATTTTTTTTTAAATAGTTATTTTAATACATCAGGTTAAACTAAATGAAAAAAATAAATAGTTCCTTGGTTTTAGTTTTAGTTAACTATAATAACCCTGGCAGTAAGGTGACACATCTGCAATGTATAAATTACAAAAAGTCTTATTGTGTCAGAATACACAGTAGGGCTGTCAAAAAAAATTTGAATTTCGAATATTCATCGAATTAAAAAAAAAATCCACATTCGAATGCAAAAACGTTAATTGTTTAAGCAACTTTATTATTTATATATGTTTTATAAACATTATTTTAAACATTATGCAAAGATAGTCGTGTTATTTTATTACGCTTTGAAGAAACGTGCATAATATTTTGCTCGATGCGCCCTCTTGTGGCTTTAGGAGAGAAGCCAAAATCTTTTTCCCCCTAACTGAAATTATGCCTTTTAAATTCGAATTTAGTTTTTCAGTCATTTTGAAAACCCTAATACACAGCTACTTTTGAATGCTGCTACAATAGTCTCTCTTTATTTTTCTCATCTCCTGTCCAGTTAATTTTTCACAAAACAATTAAAAACATTAATGTAAACTGAAATAAAATAAATGTTCACAGAAATAAAATACAAAATAAAAAAATTATTTCAGCTATAGTTGCCAAGGAAACATTTTCATATTAATTTAGTTTAACTTGATGCACTAAATAAAACTTAAATAAGAATGAATAAAAATTATAGAGACATGCAGTATATAAAACAAAAAACTACTAAAAATGACGAAAGCGCACAACAAATTGACTAAAACTTTAAAGGGATAGTTCACCCAAAATGAAAATTCTGTCATTAATTACTCACCCTCATGTCGTTCCAAACCCGTAAGACCTCCGTTCATCTTTGGAACACAAATTAAGATGTTTTTGATGAAATGTGAGAGCTCTCTGACCAGCAATGCAACTGTAATGTTCCCAGGTCCAGAAACGTAGCAAGGACATCGGTAAAATAATAAAAGAAAAGAAAAGCGCAAAGAAAACTAAAATAATATAATTTAATTTACAATTCTTCTCCCCGAGTTACATCTTCCACCATTTTAGAGAGTATCACAATGCATACGCACGCTTTCCCCCAAGCATAAACAACACTGATTACGCAGATTACGTTCATGCCCGCGCTTTCTCCCCCGAAAAATAATATAATTTAATTTACAATTCTTCTCCCCGAGTTACATCTTCCGCCATTTTAGAGAGTATCACAATGCATACGCACGCTTTCCCCCAAGCATAAACAACACTGATTACGCAGATTACGTTCATGCCCGCGCTTTCTCCCCCGAACGTAAACAACGCTGATTACGTCGATTACGTTCTTTGGTAATCTCCAAAATGGCGGAAGACGTAACTCGGGGGAGAAGAATAGTTGAATAAATTGTTATTTTTGTTTTCTTTGCACTCAAAAAGTATTCTCGTAGCTTCGCAAAACTGATGTCACATGGACTGTTTTACAGATGTCCTTGCTACGTTTCTGGACCTGGGAACGTTACAGTTGTGTTGCTGTCTATGCAGGGTCTGAGAGCTTTCACATTTCATCAAAAATATCTTAATTTGTGTTCCGAAGATGAACGAAGGACTTAAAGGGATCCCCGGGTATTAAGACATGTATAGCTTAATATAACGTAAATTATGTCCCTTATTTAAATATATAGTAGAAACCCCATGAAAGATGTATGTTATTTAAAAAAACCGACATGGTTTTTGGACTATGGGGGGGGCGCCATTATTTTATGTGCACAGTACATTCTGCGTCGAT